CAATTGAGCCTTTGAAGGACAATGCTGGTGTTGTCCTTGATTTCGTGTATCCGGTGGCGGGGCATCCCCCAATGCGGCCGGAACCAGGGTTCATCGATTTTGTAAGTTCTCTTTTCCCGTGCCTCCTTTTCACTTGAATTTCTGACCCCTTGATGCTGACTTCGGGATAGCGGGACCAGCCAAAGAGACTCGTCTTTGCGGATAGCCCGGCTCCGCTGCCGAAGGATCGGCTCGTGGCGACGGCGAATCGCACCGTGGCTGAGTGGGATAGGAAGACGAAGGAGCTCAAGAGAAAGAAGATGCTATAGAAGCAGCAAGCATGGGAGCGAGGAGAGGAGACAGACAGTGACGAGGAGGAGAAGGAGGAGTTTGACGAGGTAGTTGCCGATGTGTAGTGGGATGTCCTGGAGGGCGAGGATACGTTGATAGGTACCCACTTGTCCACGTAGGGACCCTTCCCGTTCCATGCGGAGGGAAGTGAGTCCGTGAGGCTGGCGGAGACAGGCCAAACCATCGGCCCGTCCTCAGGACCGGTGGGAGCCGGTGGATCGGCCGCCGCGCCGGGGGTGCCGATGGAGGGGGCGGCTCCACTGCCGTACCTCATGAGCTGATAGGGGCGGGCGGATCTGCCGCCACGCCCGAGGCACCGATAGAGAGGGGTGGCTCCACTGCCGTGCCCTCAGAGGCAAGGGAGACGAGCCCCTCTGCCTGGGAGCGAGGGGCAGGCTAGAAAAGGTCCCACCCAGACAAGTTGGAGCAGGAATCTGGGGGTTCGTCCCCAAAACATTCCTGCCGCCCAACAGCGCCAGCGTAAGTTACCAATTCCTCTGTTTTTCCTGTTTTTCTGTTTTTTAGTGTGACCTATGTATTTTAACTTTTGTAGAATCTTGAGACGGGGCCACTCTTTGGCGCTGGCGCCCAAGAAGAGCGTTGCTCTTTATGCGGGACGGGTGCCGTCGCCCGACGTCACTCCTATTTCGGGCAAGAGCGAAGCCGATGTTGCGGCCTCGTCGGCCGATCAGACGCCGCCTGCGGTGGCGTCCGTGCCCTCGGTGGGTCAATCAGGTACCAAGACTGAAGAAGCATCCTCGGGGGTCACCGAGCACACGGCGGCGGAGGTGATTCTGCCACCTACGTCGGAGCGGACGGAGCTGCCGCTCGCGCATGTGGCGCCTTCCGTGGTGGGCGCGATGCCACAAGCTGAGGACCTGGCTTCGCAAGCGGAGGTGGCCGCGACTGTGACAAGCCAGGCGCCGCTAGACGCAGCCACGGTGGTGTCCGAAGGAGCAGCGCAATCCGTGCGACTGGCGGCTCAGTCGACGGCGCCCGAGGCGGGCCGGATGGAGAGGGATACGACCGGATGGTCCCCGGGCATCATGGCAGTGGTGGATAGGATCAGCAGGGGGTCACCCTCGGCCTTGATGTCGGGGGGTAGCCGCTCGCCCGTGCGAGGTGAGCCGCCGCTCCAGTGGATGGCTCCTCAAGACCCAACGTTGACTCTCTTCTCGCTCGATGATGCTACCGAGTGCATAGAGCGGGAGAGTCTCAAAGTTGGGTTCTCGGCTATGATGGATGCCTTGAGCCAGACTAGGGGCGTCCTATGTGACATCATCGTTCCCACTGGCCGGGTATCCGCTTGATCTTCCCTCTCGCTTTCTTCTTTCTTCGTGTATTTTTGATACTGGTCTTCTTTTCAGTCCCTCATTGCTCGTTGTTGGGAGAAATCCCAGTTCCTCCATGAGCAGAAGGTGGAATGGGACCGCCTCGCCGAGGAGGCCCGGCCGCGTGGAGATGTGAACGCCCAGCTTGCTACCGCCCAACAATGGGAAGCCGGGGCGCATTGGGACGCGGAGGAGATCCAAGGGATGTTCCAGGATCTGTCGGCGAGGGTGCAGCAGGACGAGGAGGCGGCCGCCAGGGTCCGGAAGGAGTGGGACGAGCTGCTCTAGAAGGACGCCGAGGCTAGCTAGTGGGCCGTCGAGCTCCTGGAAGAGCAGGAGAGGGATCGGGACCTCAAGCTAGAAGCCGAGGAAAGGTCCGCGGCATTACAGCAGAGGGCGAATCTGGATGCCGAGGTGATTGTCTGGCTACGTAGGGAGCGAGACGAGCTACGCTAGACCACAAAAAGGCTCCGCTCGGAGCGCGGCACGGCCCGCGAGGAGCGCGACCAGGCCGTCCGAGAGCACGACAAGGCGCGTCAGGGGTCCGCTCCCTCCGGGCGGATCTTGGAGCCATGGTGGCCCGAAGGCTAGAGGCCAAGAGCGTCTCTGCCGGGCTAGGCACGGAGCTCGCCGAGGTGCGGAGGATTCTTCAGGCTGAAAGTGATGAGCACGATCTCCTGCGCGCCGCAGTTGGGGTTGTTTTTTATGACCTAGGGTTGGCGTGGCCGGAGGAAACTGGCTCACTTGCGGCCCGTGCCGTAGATATCACGGTGCGGGTGCACCAGCTTGAGGAGAACGCCTTTCACGCCGAGATCACCCAAGCCTTTGTTGTTGCCCGCTCTCATTATGATCAGGAAATCAACTTGGAGGCAATGAGCCTTGGCTTCACGCCTGGCTACGAAAACTCCGAGCTGGATGAGATTGAGAAGGCGGTGACTCCTATTGCGCGGAACCTGACGAACAAGCTGAAAGACATGGTTCTTCCCCCGAGGAAGTAGTTCGTCGAATGAGTCGGATAAACATTTACATGTAATCTGTGGACAAGTGTCGGTACTTTTGTGTCCGAAAACAGTTTCGTAATTTTGTTTCATTTGTTTGATCTTACTTTATTCCCTTTTGCATTCGAGAAAAAAGGTTTATGCGATCTGACCCTTTCGTTCGTTAAGACCATAGGACCCGAGGTGTATAAGGGGGAAGTTTCGATTATGCTGGTGAGCAAAGTTACCATAGCCGTCGGGGCATGGGTTTTTTGCAGTCTTACCATGCATGCGCGTTTATTTGTTCCCACAAACCTTGCCGTCAACCTTAACGCGAGGAAGAGGTCTGACGCAACGACTGTTTCGAAAAAGGAGGTATTCGTACCTTTATCAGCCCTCGAGTGAGATCCGACCCCTTATGGTCGCTGGGGCCGGATGTTACTGGAGACCGAAGCGAGGGTAGCAAATTTACTCTTGTATTCGTGCATACCCCTTACTTAGGATTTTAACGATCGTTCCGTGACCGTGCGTATCGAATGTCCGCCTTCCCCGAGCCTCCGCGCGTGGCGGGGATTCGGTCAAGGGCCAGCTCATTTTATGACTGTCGCCCCGTCCGCGGTTTCCGCAACTGGAGGGGTTGAGGCGGCGTCACTTGCCTCGATGACTTGAGTGACGTGCTTGATGAGCTCGCTAACGGGGATGTTCGAATGGAATCCGATCCCGTCCGCGCTTTCGACTCTGGCCCGCCTCTCCGATCGGAAGGCCTGGCCAAAGAGAGGACGACGCTCGCTTCCGACTCCGGCCCGTCTCTCCGACCGGAAGGCCTGGCCAAGAAGAGGACGACGCTCGCTTCTGACTCTGGCCCGCTTCTCCGATTGGAAGGCCTATCCAAGGAGGGACGACGCTCGCTTCCGACTCCGACCCACTTCTCCGACCGGGGGTACACCGAGCCTCTGCTTATAGCTCTTTTTCGACCGGCGTGGTCAGAGCCAACTAGAAAACAACCGAACGGGGACGCCCACATGGTAAGGACCCAGAGAAACAAGCGGAGCAAGTAAGACAGGGCGCTCAAGTCAACCGCAATACCGATGGCTGTACCCTGCACACCTGTAGGCCAGTACTGTCAGGCCATATCAAAAGGGTGCTCTGCAACCTTCCAGACATATCAGAACACGAACAGTGTTGTGGGCGCCGATATTTGTCCTACAGTATGGTAGGCGCCGATATTTGTCATACCAGAAGAGAACGATGGAGCCTATCACATGCATCTGGGCGTCAACAGTATTGTGGGCGCCGACAAACCACCTTGTATCCGACGGCGTGGGCGACAAGGCTAGGTAGCACACAAACTCTCTTTCTCTCACACTCTCTCTCTTATAAAGCCGTCCCCTTCATCTATAAAAGGGGATGCGCTCTCTCCAAAAAGTGCACGATCGATTCACATAAACGATTCAAACGAACAACAGACGGATCACTCAAATTCTTTCTGCTTGGCTCTAGAACTCTAAAGCCAAACAAAGCATATGTTCAAACACTTAGCGCACGTCGGAGCTCCCGTCACTCTTGGCCCTTCGGTTCGGAGTCCGACCGGACCTCTGATACCCTCCATCTTACTTCCTCTCGTTTGTAACCCCACAGCAAACTTTGAGCACCTGGGCTCAGGAATAAAGTCACCAACCAACTCAAACTGGACGTAGGGCACGTTGTCTGAACCAGTATAAATCCTGTGTTATTGAGTGCTAGACCATATCCGCTCACAACATACGATAAAACTACAAATATTTACTAGTTGGTCACTTTTCGCACCGACAGATATGCTCCAGTGTTACACGCTCCTTCTGAATCAATGTTGCATACATGGATGTATTTAAGATGCTTTGTGTTTATACGTGCTCGATTGTTTAGTCAAAACATGCTTATATATACTCAAATGGATTTATACCGTGTTTATTCGTCGTGATGTATATAGTAATTATCTAGAATCTTGCTTTTCAATGTATGTTGATAGATGGAGGCTTAAATTCCATGGTTTAATAGGTTCATTAGTTAAAATTATGGAAGCGAGGTGATTTACTAGTATAAATGGGTAGAGAGTGTTGCATGAAATTTCCCCCTTTTACCACTGCATTAGTTTGGGTAGCACTGCAATATTCTTTGCTGGAATGTGAGAGGTTTGAACGATGGAGCAAAGCGCGCGCATTGGTTCGTAGCCTCTGGAGCCACGCTTGTGTGGAAACGAAGATATTACAGATTGGACACAAAACCTTTTATCGGAAACTGTTGAAACGGACATGGCAAGGAACGCTGTTTCTCTGCCGTCAGTAGGGGCGTCCGGGGGCATTCTAATCGCAGCATCAGAACGTTTCTTCAGGGTCCAACAGACTCACCAAACGGCCAATACTATCACAGCATCTATCATAATGTTGGCGGAAAATAAAGAATGGTCATTAACTGGAGTATACGGGCCACAATCAGACGCAGATAAAATCTTGTTCATGCAAGATCTGTCGGACTTGCGACAGCACGTCCTTCCTGCGTGGCTGATGCTTGGGGACTTCAATTTAATTCTTTGCGCCCAAGACAAAAACAACTCACGCCTAAACGTGGCCATGCTCAACAGATTTAGATTCACCATGGACAACCTAGAGCTGGCACGGATTGATCTACGGGGGAAGAAATATACGTGACCAACAAACACCCGCAATGACCAGAATTGACCACATGTTTGCTTCGACGGAATGGCTGGAAATCTTTCCTAGAACTGATCTTCAAGCACTCGCCTCGTTAGGATCTGACCATTGTCCCTTATTCCTCCAAGGCGATGTGGCGTTTGATTTCTACAGGGATTTTCGTTTTGAAACTCATTGGGCCCATATGCCCGGGTTTATGGACACAGTGCAGGAAGCATATGGAACACTCAGGTCCACACGCAGCACGCCATCTTACGTGTCCATGTCAAGCTCAGACGCACAGCTAAGGCACTGAGAAATTGGAGGCGAAAATCTTTCGCCGGTTGGAAGTTATTCTGGGCCATCCTAAACATAACTTTGGCCAATTTAGAGAGGGCTCAGGAAAATAGAATCTTGACATCAGACGAGCTAGAATTCAAGCGGTATCTAAAAGCAAGAGCCTTGGGAATTTCGGTGGTGCAAAAGGCAAGAGCACGCCAACACTCTCGGCTGACCTGGATCCCTAAAGGGGACACTAATACGCGTTTCTTCCAACTGCATGCCAACACGAGGCGATAAAACGACGTTCATTAGCACTCTCAATGGGGAGACTGGTCTGGTACCATAATTGGCAAAGATGTTCATTAGCACTCTCAATGGGGAGACTGGTCTGGTACCATAATTGACGTGAAGGAGAAGCTCCAAGGTACCTAGCCCCGAATTTGTTTTGGCTTGTTTTAAGGAGAAACCGAACGGTGCAATAAGAGCTCCAGAACAACAATTGGATGCGCTCGCTAAGAAGGAAAATCACCTCGGCTGTCCACATAGAGGAATTTGTGTCCCTTTGGGTATGAATTCAGGACGTGCACCTGCAACAGGGCGTTCAGGACTCCATCATCTGGCAATGGACCCAAGATGGGACTTACTCCACCCGCTCAGCTTACAGAATTCAATTTAAAGGCTCGCTCGTCCTGTTCCGTACTGAACTCATTTGGAAAGCACAAGTGGAGAACAGATGTAAGATCTTCGCCTGAATTTTAGTGCAAGATAAAATTCTTACGACGCACAACCTACAAAAGAGAGGGTGGCCACACCAACAACACTGTGTGCTATGCAACGGTCTCTTAGAAACCGGCCTCCACCTATGTCTATGTTGCCCTTTTGCTAAGGCGGTTTGGGATCAAATCCTCTCTTGGGAAAACTTCACTCAGCTGCAACAACAACCCCAGGTAGACCCTATCCATATCAGGGCATGGTGGGAAGAGGCGGCAAGGAAAGTGCCAAAATCTGAACGTAGACGACTAAACGAGGTAGTAATCTACACCTTTTGGAATATTTGGAAAGAGAGAAATAGGAGAATTTTCAACAACGTGATAGAAACGGTGCCGCAAGTAGCTGCAAGGATAAAGGAAGACATAGAGCAAAGGAAGAGAGCACTTATGTTTAGCTGTTGTTTTCCCTTGGGATGTGTGTTTCCCTCCTATACCTGCTTCGGGGGGCTTTAAATCCTCATCTGAAGTGTTTTTGCTTGTACATAAACTCTCTTTTCCTATCTTAATTGAAAGACAGAGTTCCTACCATTACGTTAAAAAAAAAGGCTGGTCTGGTAGTTTCTCAAGAAAATAAATCGAAGCTTGGCGCACGCTCACTTCTCAAAACTCACGGGGACTCCAAACACAAGAACAAAGGCCATAAACTGGAACGAGATAGGTTACGCTCAGCACGATCTGGAAGACTTGGATGCCCCTTTCACGCACCAGGAATTAGAAACTGTAATTAAAGAGATGCCTGCTGAGAAGGCACCGGGCCCTGATGGATTAATAGGAGTTTTCTAAAAAAAATGCTTGTCAATTATAAAGGAGGATCTATACCAAGCGATCTTGTGTTTCTACAATCACCAAACAGAGAGGTTCGGCCTACTGAATGAGGCCAATATTGTTCTCCTGCCCAAGACCCCGGACGCTATTTCCCTATCAGATTATAGACCTATAAGTCTGATAAAGAGCATTGCAAAAATCATCACGAAGATCCTAGCAAATAGGTTGGCTCCACATATGAACTCCCTCGTTTCAAATGCACAGAACGCTTTTATCAAGAAGAGGTGTATACATGACAATTTCATTTATGCGCAAAGGGTGATTCAGCTACTCCATAAAAAGAAACGGGCGGCCCTATTCATTAAGCTGGATATGTGGAAGGCGTTTGATTCTATAAGTTGGAGTTAGGTACTTAAAGAGTTGGGTTTTAGCACAAAATGGAGAGACCGGATATCAGCTTTACTGGGCACGTCATCTTCACGAGTTTTGATAAATGGACAGCCGACCAAGGGATTTAAGCATGCAAGAGGACTTAGGCAAGGAGATCCGTTATCACCGCTGCTGTTCATTCTAGCTATCGACCCTCTCCAACGCATTATCGAGACCGCAGCGCAGAGAGGAATACTAAAGCCGGTGCTGCCTAAAGCAGCAAATTTACGATGCTCCCTTTATGCGGACGACGCGGCAATTTTCGCGGACCCGAGTGACGCAGAGCTCGATCATCTCTACAAGATACTTAATTTTTTCGGAGAATGCTCGGGGCTAAAGATCAACATATCCAAGACTGAAATTTATCCGATATGTCTGGGTGACACAGTGGTAAACCAATTACTTCGGAACCTCCCCGGCAAGACTTGTAAATTTCCCGGGAAATATCTTGGGCTTCCTCTCCATGTTCGGAAGCTACGCAAGGTAGAGGTGCAACCTTTGTTAGATAAAATAGGGGCTAGGCTGCCGGGTTGGAAGGGCAGGTTCCTATCCACGTCTGGACGAGAGACACTGGTTAAGACAGTGTTGTCATCTCAGTCGATTTATCATATGACTGCATTCCAAGAACAAAAGTGGCTAATAAAGAAAATAGACCTCATGAGAAGGAGCTTTCTTTGGAGGGGAGAAACGCCGGATAAAGTTTATGGAGGGCACCCGATCATTAACAACTGGCCGACGACATACAAGCCCAAGGAAAAGGGAGGGCTACGGATCCTAGACCTCGAACGCTTTGCAAGGGCCCTAAGACTGCGTTGGCTTTGGTTCCAGTGGAAACATACCGAGAGAGCGTGGAACGGTCTAGACCTACTGGTTGATCGTCGGGACAAAGCGCTTTTTGCGGCATCAACGGTCATGACGATAGGGGATGGAAAAAAGGCACGGTTCTAGCACTCTTCCTGGGTGGAAGGTGCAATTCCAAAAAGTATTGCACCAACTCTGTTCAAGAAAGCCAAAAGAAAAAAATTGTCTGTCCAAGCGGCACTGAAAGAGAACCGATGGATTGCTCATATATCCCCACTAATCACACCGCAGGAGATTAAGGAATACTTTGCTACGTGGGAATTGGTAGGGCATACACAGTTGCAAGAGAATATGGAGGATAGTATTCGTTGGCGTTGGACAACTGACGGGGAATACACATCCAAAAGTGCATACTTGATCCAGTTCCAAGGCACTTTCAGCAAGCTAAAACTTATGCCTATTTGGAAAGCAAAGGTGGAACCCAAATGTAGATTTTTTGCTTGGACGCTGCTACATAAAAAAATCCTTACAGCAAACAATCTGATAAAGTGCAACCGGCCAAATGATCCAATATGCAAACTTTGTGGGACTGATCCAGAAACACCAACACACCTTTGTAAGGATTGCGTTTTCGCAAAGCAAGTTTGGTCTCTTTTAAGACAGTGGCTTGGATTATCAGTGCTAGACTCAGTTGGAATGACAGGATCTCTTCACAGCGACTGGCGCAAGTGCCGCACCAAGATTGACAGAGAACACAAAAAGACTTTCGATGGCGTTATGATATACTTCTGGTGGAATGTTTGGAAAGAGCATAATAGAAGAACTTTTCAGAACAAGTCGATACAGCCAAGCCAAATAGCGATGCTTTGCAAGGAAGATTTACAGCAGTATCAGTTGGCAACAAGGCCCAATGTGCTAGCGGGCTCGAGCCTGGTTGGCTAGCTCGTGTTAGAGTTGAGCTAGCAACCACGGTTCGAATCCCTGTGTGCACAGCATTAAGCCATCTCATATGGCCAGGGTTTCGACCCTATTAGCTTTTTTTTAACAAGGCCCAATGTGGGAGTGCAGCAGCCGTAGTCTTACTTTTATTTTTAGTGATCAACAGGTTTTGTTTTGGCCGGTTTCGGTCTCTGAGATCTTTTTCCTTCCTGGTGTGCGGTGTAGGAAGCTCGGCTTCAGTTTCCAGCACCAGGGGGCCTGCTAGTCGAGGGGGCAGCTAGAGTGCCGTGGTGGCGAGTTTTTTCTCTCCTTTTTCGTTGTCCCGTTTGTAAATTTGTTTCTTTTTCTTCGTCTAATAAAAATTCAGCAAAGCTTTTGCTGCCTTTCTAAAAAAAATAGTTTGGGTAGCATGTTCTAGGTAGTATTGTTGGAGTTGGGATTAAAATAGGGATATTATAAAAATGGGTAACTATCCGAACAGATAAATAGGTAGTACTATTGTAGATGCTCTAAGCCCACGATGGCATGAAGCAACATATTGGCAAAACTCAATATCCAAAGACTCTTTTGAGACCTAAGTGTTAATCATCCTTAATAGACAAGCTGTGAAAATAGACAAATCATAGAATTGTCATTAAAATAGAAAACATTTGATTGTGTAAAGCTTAATTATCATTGATAGTGATAGTCAAATTGTCAAATTATTGTATTGTATATCATTGTAAAAATAAACCTAAGATAACCCTCTAATAATTTTTTACCTAAATTACCTACCTTTATACTATTATATAAAACTAAGTAGTGTGCCCGTGCATTGCTACGGGATAACTAATAATTTATACTAAAAACACACGGATCGCACGATAACATAACAATACTGTTAAATTAAATACCAACGTTAAAGTGACATTTAATCCAAAAAGCAAAGTTTATGAATTTAACACAGTCACGGAGTGCGCGGCGTCGCAGGCTCACAAGCTCTAGAGCTTCCAGAGATTGGGTCGAATCCAACCTAGAGCCTCAGAACCCTGC